CCTTAACCATCTTACTCAGACCCACCTTAACCCTAACCTTAACCATCTTACTCAGACCACCTTAACCCTAACCTTAACCATCTCACTCAGACCACCTTAACCCTAACCTTAACCATCTTACTCAGACCACCTTAACCCTAACCTTAACCATCTTACTCAGACCACCTTAACCCTAACCTCAACCATCTTACTCAGACCACCTTAACCCTAACCTTAACCATCTTACTCAGACCACCTTAACCCTAACCTTAACCATCTTACTCAGACCACCTTAACCCTAACCTTAACCATCTTACTCAGACCACCTTAACCCTAACCTTAACCATCTCACTCAGACCACCCTAACCTTAACCATCTTACTCAGACCACCTTAACCCTAACCTTAACCATCTTACTCAGACCACCTTAACCCTAACCTTAACCATCTTACTCAGACCACCCTAACCTTAACCATCTTACTCAGACCACCTTAACCCTAACCTTAACCATCTTACTCAGACCACCTTAACCCTAACCTTAACCATCTCACTCAGACCACCTTAACCCTAACCATAACCATCTTACTCAGACCACCTTAACCCTAACCTTAACCATCTCACTCAGACCACCTTAACCCTAACCTTAACCATCTTACTCAGACCCACCTTAACCCTAACCTTAACCATCTTACTCAGACCACCTTAACCCTAACCTTAACCATCTTACTCAGACCACCTTAACCCTAACCTTAACCATCTCACTCAGACCACCTTAACCCTAACCTTAACCATCTTACTCAGACCCACCTTAACCCTAACCTTAACCATCTTACTCAGACCACCTTAACCCTAACCTTAACCATCTTACTCAGACCACCTTAACCCTAACCTTAACCATCTTACTCAGACCACCTTAACCCTAACCTTAACCATCTTACTCAGACCACCTTAACCCTAACCTTAACCATCTTACTCAGACCACCTTAACCCTAACCTTAACCATCTTACTCAGACCACCTTAACCCTAACCTTAACCATCTCACTCAGACCACCTTAACCCTAACCTTAACCATCTTACTCAGACACCTAAAACTTAACCAGTCACAACTTATTAGGATTTATTAGTCTAAAACTGATTTGGATTGTTACTCCCGCTTTCGTCCCGATTCCGTATATGATCTAGTACCGACCCTTTTGGATCTTGGACTTCTTAACTTATCTTAACTTAGGAAAACCTGCTAAGAAGTACAGATAATGGGTGAGAAACCTTCCTTTGCTTTGACTTAACCCTGTACGACTGAGTTCTTCTTACACAAACTTATCTTAACTTACTGTAACTCAAGGGGTAGTTCTTTGTCAATAATGAAATGTTACACTGACCAGAAACCAACATTAGACGTAGCGAGAGGAGCTGGACGTGGAGCCAAAGTTCTCCTCCTACATGAACCGAGCCATACTCCACGCTGCACCATTTGCTCGAGCAGCACTTTCCCAACAATCCTCCTCTGTGTTTTTAGGGGAAAAGTCATGGAATCAGATCTCTCTCCTCAGGCTCAAACCAGATGTTGGGAGTCGTGTCCCAGCCCGCCTCCCCCTCTCTTCCCTGGCTCTCCTTCTGCCTGTGTGCTGTGTTTCTGAGGCGGGGAAAGGCCTGTTTTTTCAGCTGCAGTGGTCAGAGTGAGGTGTTGAAACCAGGACAGAGGAAATGAGCAGTATAGGAGGAAGCACAGGGCGGGGTTTGGATGGGGGGCCCAATAAGGAACATACTCTACTCTACAAATGACTCAAGTGAAGTGTTTATAGTATGCTAACAGAAAGGGCTGTGTAATTAATTGAACGTTATTAGAATGGGGATCCAGGCTTTTCAAATCTTCAAACATCAACAAGTGGATTTTTGCAGGCTGAGCATGTGGCCTGGAGAAGAGACCTGTTGTACAAGAATAATCACCTCCGCGACGGGGTTATGTTTTCATCAGGGCTCAATTGTTTTCTTGATGGCAAAATAAATCCAAAAGTTTAGGGAAGATTCCAACAAAATGTTCAAATTTTCGCACATGGGACACGTTATTAGAGTTTGTAGGTGGTCCGGATCATAGTCTGGTCTGCTCTACGGGTGCTTTTATATAGGAGCTGTATGTCCTGAGTTAGCCTGGTCTTACCATGTGTAAACTCTGGTCCATGATCATCTCCTACATGTACGTCTGGTCTTACCATGTGTAAACTCTGGTCCATGATCATTTCCTACATGTACGTCTGGGTCTGATCCTAGTGGCTGCAGTTTCCTCGGTTGAATTCCTTCCGACCAATCAGCGGAGGGGGGTAGGAGGTGACATCAAGAGTTTGTGCTGAATTTGCTGGTTGTAGTTTGTCGGAGAATGCGATAGTAAAATAATCTGTTCTGGTTCAATCCAAATGTCAAGAAACTGAAGCCGGAGCAAGAGGAATGTTTAGTAAATGTCATTGAAGCAGAGATGTTGTGGCTCTACTCCCCACGGGCTCCGTTAGTGGCAAAGGAGATGGCTAAAGCTAGGCTAAATGCTAAAGCTAGGCTAAATGCCTCACTCACTCGGGCTCATTACATACGTCACGGTAAACTCAGATCCAATCGTTTCAATCTGCAAAAGTAGTTAACCCCTCCCACCTATTCACTAAATAAATCTAAATGGTTTTTAATTACAATTCAAATGTAATTTTTTAAATGTATTTTTCAGCACATCTAGCTATTATTAATGAAAATGTCTTTAAACAAATCAGTAAGATTCAAATATTTTAGATAAATGAATGAAATTACTGCTTGTTTTTTGTATGTAGCTCAGAAACCCACATAACTCGCTTGTTGTCATGGAGACGTCATTTCTTTAGTGGAGTAAACCTCAGTGTGGCATAAATCTCATAAATGATTGAATTACGCCTCTGCCGTAGCTGTGGCTAGTGAACAATTCAGAGAGAACATTTAAATGGACTTGAGCAAAAACGCTTCACCAGGACAACCGTGAAAATGTTGTGCACTTTCTGAAATATTGATCATTTGTATCTGCAGTATTTATGGTATTAATAACTATTGCATTTACCGTAGCGTTCCATACTTTGTCGTACACTCGGGTATCAGTCATAGTTACATGAATCAAGTTGTCATGTGTCAGTGCTTTTTAATGTGTTTTTCCAAGTTGTGTGAATGCATCAGAGGCCAGAGGCAGTGTGCGTCTGTGCTAGACACACTTACATGTTTATGCAGGCTTGGGGTATGTCTCCACTCTGCTGCGCTGATACGGTTTCAGGAACTGGCTCATCACCTTTGAAATCACTATGACACTGTTTTTGTGTGTTTTGACTTTGAAAATGATGCCAAGTAAAAAGACTAGGTTGCACAAAGGAAGCTAATTCTTTAAATGATCGTTTTAACCTCTTATATCCACCGTTTATGCTTGATTTATGGATTTGTGTAAAATGTGGAGCAACAGTTCCGTCTTCTCTGATCTTCTCTCTTTTTCTACTTTTTGTTGTGTGTAGCTTATTTGTTGTAAAGCTCCGAATCTCAAAGCAACACAACCTGAATGCATTGATAGCCTTCCAGTCTGTACCTCGGCCTGTTGAACACTGGTGTAGACAATGGGCATCTATACAGTATGTCTGGCATGTCCAAGCTCAGGCCCGGGGGCCAATTGCGGCCCTCAGTGTCATTTCATGTGGCCCTCTGTCTTGCTAACGGAGTCATCCATCCAACTTCAGCTCAGCCAATACAGACATGTCGTACGTCGTTCTAAAACCCTTAAGTTTGGAATTCAGTCGTTACTTTATCTGTACATTCTGTGCTGCCTCGGTTTTTGATTGTGTCACAAACCTCCGTTACTGGTGCTACTGTTACTGGTGAGATGGTAAACATATGTCATTCAGCCAACTTCAGCTCTGTCATAGCTCATTCTAAAGCACAGAACATCCCAGTTTTTCAGTCCGTGACGTCAATCCCTTGGACTAGTCTGCCGAACTAAAGTGGCCCTCTTACTAAAATGTTTGCTGTATGTGAATAAAAATCGGGGGGGAAAATGGAACGTTCGGCCGTGGAATCGCGCCATGTCTCTCATAGTCGGTGGCTGTTGCGTCCGCCGAAGTCTGGAGCGTGCGATGGAGGGTTTCCATGGCGACGGCGGCAGCAGCAGCAGCCACACTGTGTTCTTTGTGCTGGTCAGAGCTTCTCCTCGGCTCACAAACACGCTGCTCTCATTAACCAGCTCCAGCCCTTTGTCGAGCAGCACGGGCGACGCCGACACAGATGTAGCCGACACAGGAGAGCCCTGGAGCCTCAAGTCTCAAACCAAACACACCGACATGGACTTGCCACATACGTCTTCTTTAATCTTGAACTCAGACGCAGAAAAATATCCATAGAAAACATTTGAAAGAACAACAGATATGGGACAATCCAGTCTAAACATCATTGGTGTCTGCTGGGTAAAAGCTCTGCCTACTTTTGTTGTAATTTCTTTATCAATGGTGCTAACTAACTGGTAGTTATGATAAGTGATTAATGCCTATTGGTAACATTTGGTGTCTGGGCTTCAGGACTGCTTGATGAGTATTAACTTGAAATTTGACTGTTGATCCACAGCTATCGGTGTAGATCTTATGTCCTTTTGTCATGGAAAGACCGTGATGCTAACCCCCCTCCCTTCTGTTCGGAGATGTCCTGTACTTTTACTGTAGTTTATTGTACTTTACATCTAGCATTCATCTAGATTAATGCAGAAAAGTGTAGATTTGTCCCAGATTTGTGTCTTCTCTCTGCCATGAGGAGCTCTCACCTGGGCTCTGTGTATTAAATGTTGGCGGATTACAGTGTTGTGTGTAGTGTACGCGTGTTTCCTGTTGCTATGACCTCCGACTGCGACAGAAGAGGATTAATGACCCACTGCTCTTTTCTATTGGTTACTCCAGTTCTCACCAGCTATTGATTAGAACGCACTGCCAATGGATGTGTTACTCACTATGTTACTGTGTCCAATGACCACGTGTTTCTGTTCCCAGGCTGCTCTTTGGGACCTTGTATCCGGCTTATTACTCTTATAAAGCGGTCAAGACCAAGGATGTCAGAGAATATGTAAGTGTCCAACAATTCTCATTCACTTTTATGTAAACTTTGCAGCTATAAACTAGTTTCTGCTCTGAATAAAGCCATCTAGCCCTCACCCTTTACGTTGGGTTTGAAGCGTTTTCCTCAGTTATTAGAATTTGGGTTGTCAATGTTTAGTCATTTTGTCTAATTTGTTTTTTCATGATGTAGATTTTTATGATTTTAAATATTCACGGGTAAAGATACTGAGTAAAATGGCTGACGATTTTGGTTGTTGGGGACCACAGTTAAATTAGCACAATGCATCTCTCATTTTGGCTAATGTTTACTGTACACTGTCCCTGTGAAAATAAAAATCATACCGTACCATATTTACTTTGATATTCAGGCCATATCAAAAACTCTCAGTTCACGTAGTTACTCAATATTGTCCATCCATCCATCCATCCATCTTCTTCCCCTTAATCCATTTCTGGGTCGGGGGGGTGGCAGTCAGAGCTGCACCCAATTCACTTAGCACCAGCCCCTCACTGATCCTCTGCCAGTGCTCTACCAACTGAGCTACTGTCGCCCCTAATATTGTCTATTAATCCCTAAATAATTAACTTTTTATGATTGTAAATAGTAGTTTTTCACTCACGTTAAATTGTGTGAGGATAGGTTGTGTAAGATCATTTTTTTAAGCATATGACACACCCCCTTTTTCAGTCAACATGGTATTCTCTTCCATTATTCCAGATGGAACCCTAACCTTAACCACCTTTTAGAGAAACTTCTGTAGTGTGCAGCGTTCCAAAGTGTGAGGGTCTATATTTTCCTTTTCCAATCCAAGCCCTTACACAGCATCTGTTTTCAGCATCTGCTTTGGCACCTGCTGGCAGAGGCAGATGTCGAGGCGGCGTTTGTGAAAGTCAGTCATCAAGCCGAGTGTGTGTTGTGTTGTAGGTGCGTTGGATGATGTACTGGATTGTGTTTGCACTCTACACAGTGGTGGAGACCATCACCGACCTCACCCTGGCTTGGTGAGTACAAGTTGTATACAGGGAGTCTTTTGGGCGGCACGGTGGCTGAGTGGATATAGCACTCTCGCCTCTCAGCAAGAAGGTCCTGGGTTCGAATCCCGGTTGGACCAGGGGCTTTCTGAGTGGAGTTTGCATGTTCTCCCCGTGTCTGCGTAGGTTTCCTCCGGGTGCTCCGGTTTCCCCTACCACTAAAAATATGTACAATAGGTCTGGCATGTGCCTCCTGTACTGGCACCCCCACTCCCAAAAAAAAATAACAATTGTAAACCGCTTTGAGACTCCGATGTGCAGTGAAAAGGCGGTATATAAATAAAGATTACTTACTACTACTTACTTACTTCACGGAGACTAAAGCCATTACAAGCTTTGAAATGGGCAAAAAAGGCAATACATTTGGCAAAAGTATGAAAGAAGTAGACACTCAAAATGCTGATGAACAAAAATGTATTTATTTATGAAGTTTGGGCCTTTTTTTAATCTTCTTCAGAACATTTACCCAGAGTCAGAATCATTTTATTGCCATGTAAGTTACTTTGCTTTGGCTCTCGGTGCAAACAGTCAAAACGAGAGCGGTAGAGAATAGAGTACGGCATAGTAGCGTCTCTAGTAGCAGGCAGAGACGCTATCAAAGCAGAAAAACAAGAAGATAGAAGCGCACCGAAGAGCCGTGGAGCATGTACACGACGCCATCTTGATTTGAAACCCAGATTTAATTCACACACACATGGTCCATATATGTTAAAAACTTGACAGGAACATACACAAATACACAAATAACAAAGAACTCAGACGCCAACGAAATGGTGTTTGTAGAATGACTGAAAGATCCATGAGAAAAATATTGAATGTATTTTACACCATTTACTTTAAAACATGAAGGATGCGAAAACCGTTTTTTTTTCTCCCTTTTCAGCATAAATACTAAACCGTACAATATAAGACATGCTTCAGTTTATTTAACACGATTATTATGATTATTATGATTATTTTACCCACAGCCTTCTTGCTTTTTCTATAGAGATACTATTTCTAAATACATTTTATTTACAGTATTTTTTTGATTATAAGTCGCAGTTATTGCCACAGTTTGGCCGGGGGTGCGACTTACTACAATCTATGTTTTAAATTTTATATTATATTTACCGTAAAATATCAATTAATTTCCCGGGCGATTAATTAAACAAACTTATATATGTTTCTTTCCTTCTTATTAGTAGTAGTTTAGTTTCTTCGGACAATATGTACATTAGATCACATGTTTTCAAAGATTGTATATACATTTTACAATAATAATTTAAAAAAAGAACTGAAATGTGTCCGCTTTATTATGCATTTTTGCCTGGTGCAATTTATACGGTAAATAAAATGTATATAAAAAATAGTATGTAACACAAAAAGAAATCGCTATAGAAAAGGCAAGAAGGCTGTGGGTAAAAAATAATAATAACACTGGGTAACAAAAAAATATGTTTTGAAAATAGTCCAGGGTTTTCAGCTGAATCTGATAAATCTGAATAATCTGATGCTCTGAGTCCGAAAATGACCTTGGTTTTGCTCAATCAGGTCCGGATTTTTTGCTACAGAAATATTTGTTTTAATCGATTTTGCGTAAAAAACAAATTCCTGCGGATCATCAGCTGAGAAACCCTTGACGTTTTTTCCGTTTTCCTCAAGAAATAACAGTCAACGTATCCAAAGCCATTCAGTTTTTTTTACTCCATCAAATTTGATAAGCAGAATTCATAATAACGTAGACGTACATAATCCGTAACACTATGGCTGTATCTCAAACAGTTGACCTGATAGAGACAAATGCATGTGATATTCGGACTCAGAACACCAACATTAGTCTCTCTTAGAATCAGCTGAGAAACCCCTGACTATTTTTTGGCTGTCAACTTGTGTAATTGATGACAAACTACTGCATCTTGGTCGTCTTTCTCAGGTTTCCTCTGTACTACGAGGTGAAGGTGGCCTTTGTGATCTGGCTGCTCTCGCCCTACACCCGCGGGGCCAGCCTCATCTACAGGAAGTGCTTGCACCCACTGCTGTCGTCGCGAGAGAGGGTACGATGGGCCCTTTGTGCGGACGTGGATGCGCTCTTTCACTGGGGCCGGGCCTTCTAATAAAGCTCTGTGTTTTCGCCGTTGCAGGAAATAGATGAGTACATTGTGCAGGCCAAGGAGAGGAGTTATGTGACCATGGTCAACTTTGGGAAACAGGGCCTGAACATTGCGGCCACAGCTGCTGTCACCGCTGCAGTCAAGGCAAGTGCTCTTCGAAGGCTTTCCATAATACACTGTCTTTTATACGTGTTTGGCAAAGTGGGGAAAGCACATGTTCGTCCAGGAGCTTGCAAAAGTACTGATACAACCTTTGCATATTTTGCAACGTTTACGACCGAGTCAACAGCTTTTCTGGAGCATTTGTGGGGCTCGTGGTGGCTGACAGTCAGATCCGCACTTCCCTTGTTTGCCGAGATAAGTTTAGATCGACGTCCGTGTTTTGGTGAATTTGCAGTGGTGCCGTACGATTTCCATAATAAAATCTTTGTTTGCAGCCGTAGAGCTTCTTTCCTGGGACGATAAAGGCAGAGAGATACTCCTTTAAGCAGCCCTGGGAAAATTAGTGGTGATATTTTGTTACTAGTGCACAGAGTAAGTGCATTTACAATTATAAATACAATCTGAAATATTAAGTGTACTTTTTGATTGGTTCCTTTCTAAATCCTTTGGTGAGGAATCTGGAAAGGGGGTGGCGAGCTACAGGCTGGACACCTGTGTTGTAGATGAACTGCCATGTTTTGGTAAATTTGCAGTGGTGCCGAACGCTTTTCAAAATAAAACCTTTGTTTGCGGCTGTGACCAGGACAAAATGAGAAGAGGTTCAATATAAGAGAGATAAGATAAGCTTTATTAATCTCACAATGGAGACGTTTGTAAGTTGTATTAGTACTTTTGCAAGCCACCGACCAAGTCCCCAAAGTAACCTGTATTTTAATTTCACGTTTTTTTGCGTGCAGACAAAAATATAGTCTCTTGAAACTTGTGTTTTGACTCGGGAATGACACCCGTTAGCTCATGCACACAACAGAGAACTGCAGGAAACATATTGATAGATACATTTTGCAGGTGTGGACAATGACAGCCAGGGTGGGTATGCCGGTCCCAGCCGCTGCCATGTGGGGGGGGTGATGATGGTGGTGGAAGTGGTGGTGGTGGGGGGTGGGGGAGAGGAGAAGAGGGGTTTCATCAGGCTTGCGTGAGACTGGAGAATATCATATAATCCCTGCTGATCTGCCTCTGGCCCAGTGCACCAGCTAATCCAACGGCACATCCAAGTCACACATTAATCCCGATCACGGCAACACGCCTAGAGCAAGCCGGGGCACAGCGATACTTATTTGTCTGTTTTCTTTCGTAACTTTTATTTCACTTTCGACTGTGCTATTGCCAGACTGTAACTCACTGCAATGGATTTTTCACCAGTAATCTGCTTGGAGTAGTTCTTAGATTTGTTTAGATTTCTTGCACAATGATCAGAGCAAAGCAATGACTAATTAAATATATCTGCGATGGTTGAACATGACTTGTCTTAAAGCTGGGGTTTGTAACTTGTTTCATGAATAACACTTTATCCCAGCGCAAACCAGACAACATACTGGGCCACAATAACATATTAGTATGACCTAGAATGGATACAGAGTGGGATCCATGTATGTATTTTTACAGCTCTGAATAATATTTTTCCCACTGGTCTAAAACACTAAAGATTCAAACGTCTGATCAGCCTTTTGATAATCCGCATGCCTGGTTGAGGGACGGCTTCACAAAATGCACAAAATGGCCCTCGAGCCAAATGTATTAGAAAACAAAGCGGGTGTTGGTGGTGATTGCATAAATAAGCTAACAGCTGTCACTCCTGCTGCAGTGGGCCGCCTGAGGGAGCAGCCGGTGGAGGTAAAGCATGGTGCTACGTCTCCCATCGTCTCCGTGTCCCCGTAGACCCAAACTCCGCATGACTGCATTTCATCATCGCATAAATACATCTCACAACTGATTGAAATCATATACAGTGTGTGTCCTGGTTGTCATTTTACCCGATCATCGTGTGGTTCAATGCATTTCTGTTCACGACGGTTGAAATCATTTTTGTTCATACTTTTTCGTTTTGATTGAGCTGAAATGGGTTTGTCAAAGAAATATACTAATTCCTACTAAAACTATTATTGATCTGGTTTGGAGCTGCGAAGTGGGCGGAGCTTTCTGTGGGCGGAGCTTCCTGGGGCCTAAAGTTGAAAATTCCCAATTCAATATCTCCATGGGGGATTTGTTTATTTGAATGAGACTTAGCACATTAATCAACATGTGTCCATATAGGGGCCATACCTGCGGGTGAAAGCACAATCCTGTCAGACCTCTGAAGCTAAGCAGGACAGGGTCTGGTTAGTACTGTGATGGGAGACATTTGGGAACAGTAGGTGCCACAGTGAGGCAGCTGTAAAGTGCTAAACTGTCTTTCCTTAGTCAAGACACTTCACCAACATTAGAATGAGTCTGGTGTGTGTGTGAGTGGTTGGTGGTGGGAGGGGCTGAGGGCACAGACTGGTTGCCTTGCTTCTGTCCCAGGGCAGCTGTGGCTGCAGTAGTAGTTTATTGCCACAGGTGAAGAGACTTTGAGTGTCCAGAAAACCGCTGTTTAAAAACGATGCATTATTTATTATTATTATTATTATTTGCCAGATTAAGCCAATAAGACTAGTTTCCATCTGTAGTCCCATTACTTTTATATTCAAAGTTGGTTTTTGAAATGTTGCTAAACACATAATCTCAAATTATACATTATACGGCCGCACAGTGGATAGTAGTAACCAGATGCTAGTTAGATCCCTCCGTGTCAAGTTTTTCATCAGATTTTGAAAAGGGAATTTTACTTCTGGAACCTGGAAGCTCCGCCCACTTCGCAGCTCGGATGATGATTGGTTAAAGTAATTTGAGAAATACTTTTACTAAACGCTGAAATGGATACACAACGTTTGTATCATAACCTTAATCTGAAACACAAGACAAACTACTCAACAATGTAAGGTTTCGATTACAAATCTACTAAGTAGTTCCAGAGTATTTTAATGCACTCCCTCAAACTCATTCCAGCCTGGTGTAGATTACGGACCTGAAACTTGGAAAATTAGAATATGGTTCAAAAGTGAATTTACTTTGGCGTATAATGTGTAACTAATGTATGACAAAGTGAGATGTATCAAGCCTTTGTGTTGTACTGTTGATAATTGGCTCACAGCTAGAAAAAAACCAAATACAAATCTCAATCATCTCTGAAAATGGATTTTAAGTCTTGATCAAAACGATAACAAACACAAACAAATACTTGTCATATCTCACTTTATATGGAATCAGTCTGTCGCATATATTAGTCTAAACATTTGAAGTTGAATTGAAGATAAATTAACGTTTTTTAACCATATTCTACATCTCTGAGTTTTGCCTGAATCGTGTCTGTTCCATTGGAGTGAGTCTGAAACCTTGGTCTTGCGTTGAACAGGGACAAGGGGCCATCACCGAGAAGCTGCGCAGTCTGAGCATGCACGACCTGAGCCAGATCGGCCAACGCGACGACGCCGGGAACCAACTGTACGCTTACAGCTCCCAGACGTCCAACCCGGCAATCAGGAGGGCCCAGAGCGCGGACGCCACCGACGGAGAAGGTAAAACTCTCCTCAAAACTTTTCTCAAAACTCCTCTGACCTGTTTTCACCCAGAGCTTCCTGTTACTTACAAGACAATAAACATGATTCTGAAATACTTGTGGGGGATCTACTAGAGCTTAATGCTGGGGTCGGCAACTTTCAAACCACTAAAATAATTACCGTCACTTCCGGACAGTAAGCCACTAATCCTAGTTATTTGAGTCCTGCGGTTTATAGAGCAGTGCAGCTTATGTAGCTATGCGGCTTATGTAGCTATGTGGCTTATGTAGCTATGCGGCTTATGTAGCTATGTGGCTTATGTAGCTATGCGGCTTATGTAGCGATGTGGCTTATGTAGCGATGTGGCTTATGCAGCGATGTGGCTTATGTAGCTATGCGGCTTATGTAGCTATGCGGCTTATGTAGCGATGTGGCTTATGTAGCGATGTGGCTTATGCAGCGATGTGGCTTATGTAGCTATGCGGCTTATGTAGCTATGCGGCTTATGTAGCGATGTGGCTTATGCAGCGATGTGGCTTATGTAGCTATGCGGCTTATGCAGCGATGTGGCTTATGTAGCTATGCGGCTTATGTAGCGATGTGGCTTATGTAGCGATGTGGCTTATCTAGCGATGTGGCTTATGTAGCGATGCGGCTTATGTAGCTATGCGGCTTATGTAGCTATGCAGCTTATGCAGCGATGCGGCTTATGCAGCGATGCGGCTTATACAAGTTTATTTGTCTGTCATATTGATATATGTAAAAGATAAGTATTGTGCAGGTTCTAAATAAGGGGGCGACAGTAGCTCAGTTGGTAGAGCATTGGCCTTCAGGCCAGAAGGTCGTGGGTTCAATTCCCACCTCTGCACCTTCTCCACCGACTCCCACTGATGACTGCTGTCGTTGTGTCCTTGGGCAAGACACTTAACCCCACTTTGCCCAAAGCCCCCACTGAAAGATCAAGGCTATGCTCACAGTCAGAGAGCAGCCGTCCTCCTGTGGACTCACCACCTGCAGAGGGTCAGTGAGGGGCTGGTGCTATGAGACTTGGGTGGCATCTCTGATTGCCACCCCCCTGACCCAGAAATGGATTAAAGGGTAGAAAATGGATGGATGGATGGAGGTTCTAAATAAATAAATGAATATAAATAATATTTGTATTTCTGTTGTGGAATAGTCAGTGCAGATTTTATGGACTTATTATTCTAAATGTATATTTTTTAGTATTTGTGTACCGGCATGGCATCCAGCTGTCAAACATTAAATCCTGTTGTAACCAGGGAAATCAGTCGTCCATCTGGTACATTACAACATGGAAACCTGCAGCTTATGCTCAAGTGCGGCTTATATGTGGACAATAATATACTTTCTCCTCATATTCAGTGTATACAGGTGCACCATATAGTTCCGCATGATCAAATCTAACAAGTTCCTCTCGTTCTTGTTTCTCGGTTCTATTGTTGTTTGCTTCTGTCACATCTTTTAGATCAGTTTTTTCAAATAGCAGCACCACCAGCCAATCAGATCTCAGCCCAAACTGTCAAATAGTGACTCACAGGGATCTGAGGACAGGCTGTAGTTCATTTGATCATAACAGTTTGCTTTTACGTCATGTATAATTCTTGGAAAAAGGTCAGGTACCCCAGCTTTAATGGGACAAACAATGGGAGACAGATCCAAATACATAAGATAGACCACAGGATCTGAGGTTAGTGATTGAAAATGTGAAGTTAAGTCCAGGGCAGAGCGGCGGGAAGCAGCCTGAGTCAGTTAAATCTCGTCTGCAGTAGTCGGTCACGTGTTAAAGTCACATGATACACACTCCTACTTAACTTATGTAATGACATTTCCACAAATTCTGTGTGTGGTTCACATGACCGTCATGTGAAGGCAGATATCCCCAATAAATGAGTTGGAGACCTGCTTTATCACACTGCCACCTGCTGGTAAACCGTATGCAACAGCCTTCTTTGTTGAACCCCTTTGATGACACCAAAAGTCTGTTTCTGTCGGTACAATTAGCAGCTTAAATAGTAGTAGAAGTGGGCAATATTTTATAAAAAGGTGGGTTTTTTGGGAAATGGCTTTGTGAGTATTCAGCTTATAGACAAATACTGCTCTTCCGCCACATAATTTACATTGTTTTAAAACTATATAAACATGGCCAGCTTGGTACAGCCGTAGATCACATCTCAAAACAGCACTGACTGGCTAATAAGCAGGACAACCAATTAAATTACAAGTGTTTATCTCGCCATTACTCCCTTTTTTAGCCTGAGTTTGGTCTGTGGAGGTCTGTGTTGAGGGTCTCAGTGTCTTTCCTTGCTTCGTTTCAGAATACAACTATGAGGCCGAGGAGCGGACGGACGAGGACGGAGAGGCCATTTTCTCTGAGGACGAAGCAGTAACTCAGAAAGGACTTCGCCGATCGCAAAGTGTAAAAATAACACGCTCAAAACTACGCAAAGATGTAAGTTTGTGTAAAAGGGCAGTCTTTAAATCATAAGTATTTAGTTCAGGATTATGATTTGTATGTGTGACAAAGGGGCTATACATTTGGGAGAACCAGTTGAAGGAGAGATACTAGCTTCTACATGTATATAGTTCATGTCTTGTTCCCACATCCAGGCTAAATTATTGCTACCTTAAACTTCCCAAATATATTTCAGTATTTGGCTGAAGATTGCAAAGTTGTTTTAAATTCTTAACATAGAAAATCATGAAGATGGAGTCAGAATTTCAGATTTCTGTAGCTAAAATACGGCACAGTCTTTCCGACATCGTCCTGACCGTGTTCAAAACTAGCTTAAAAACATATTTGTTAAACCGTGCATACACATGATCCCATTTTTATACTATTTATTTGTTTGCCCGCCCCCATTTTAATACATTTTAGGCCCGATTAACACGTTTATGCTCCATATTGATGGATTATTGCTGCATTTTGACCTGTTTTCTGAATTTCCTTGTACACAAATTGTGCTAAATACAAATACATTGTTGTTATAGACATATTATTTCCAAAACCATCCGTTGGAATTACCTGCAATTACATTAGACCTGCCTTACATATTCTCATAAGTCAGAACGAGACCATCAGGCTGCATTGACTGATGGCCTCTCTCTGCTCCATCCTCAGGCCAGATACGGATCTCTGAAAATCAAATCGAGGAAGAGGCCGACGCTGAACTCCGTCAACCAACCGTGAAGCCGTCTGCGCCCGTCGCTCTGGGATCGGCGGCATCGGCTCCTGGCGTCTCCTTTAATGCTGACATGTTTTTAAAGAACTTGGAAGAGGACATGATTCTCAACTCATCTTCATTATTGATGTTTTTACGCCTTTTTATACATGTGGTTTTGTCCAAATTCTATCACTTTTAAAGCAAGAACATGCTTTTTATATATATATTCTGCTGTATTTGACCTTTCGGGACTCGTTTACAAATGTGCGAGAAACGACCGGGCGGCTTCCAGATGTGCCGGTGGTTCTATAATGTCTCCAAAATATTCTTGTTAACATGTGAGCTTTGCCTGTGCTTGGTGTGTGTGTGTGTGTGTGTGTGTGTGTTTGCTGCTTGTGTGTAGAAGAATCCATCCCCACAAAGACAGGGGTTTGATGCTTTTGGAGTGACTTTGCACTTTCAGCCGCAGTAGAACTCGATTCTAATGTCGCTGGTCATTTCGGGAGCTGCTCACTTCAAACCATCTCCTGTTACTTTCAGTCATTTAGTGTCATGAAAACAACCAAATATATTAATAATAGTCTGGGTCAGTTTTTCTAAAGGTGTATTTTTTTATCACGAATGTACTAAACCAAAGCTAATGCTAATGTCTGCGGTGTGGATTACTGCAGTGGAATAAAACCTATGAGCTTGCTCCAAACACCGGTGTGGGGTTCTTGCTATAAAAGACGTCAAGATATTTTGTACAAGTCATCAGCACGAGATTTTTACGATAATGTGGTTCAGTTCATTATATTTACTTCTGCTTTTTAGAACTACAACCTCAGGCAGAGTTTAACCCAAGTAAGTCATCTGTATATAGCGCCTCTCACAGACCAGAGTCAAAAAGCACTTTACAATTGTAGGCATTTGTCTCCAGGAGCTACATGCTAAACGTATTGTGCATGTTTTTAGTAGTAGGGGAAACCGGAGCACCTGGAGGAAACCTACGCAGACATGGGGAGAAAATGCAAACTCCACTCAGAAAGGCCCTGTGCTACTCTTGGGTCAAAATAACCTGCCACAGATGATCAAAGGTAGAAGAATAACCAACATTATGGTCTAAATGGGTCTAAAAGGGCGGCACGGTGGCTGAGTGGTTAGCCCTCTCGCCTCTTAGCAAGAAGGTCCTGGGTTTGAATTCCGGTCAGACCAGGGCCTTTGAGTGGAGTTTGCATGTTCTCCCCGTGTCTGCGTAGGTTTCCTCCAGGTGCTCCGGATTCCCCTACCACTAAAAATATGTACAATAGTTCTGTCATGTGCCTCCTGTACTGGCCCCTCCCATCTCTGTGTGGAGTGAGAGACAAATGCCCAAAAATAACAATTGTAAACCGCTTTGAGACTCTGGGCTGTGAAAGGCGGTATATAAATAAAGATTACTTACTAAATGACTGAGGGCTGGTCAAGCTCGGGGAAGTAATAATAAAAATCAGCCCAAAAAAGATTATTTAGGGTTCTTTTAATCACTGGTGGGTCAGTTTCTTCCTTCTTTGGGAAACTGACATTTACATGTAGATATCAGTCTTTAGTCTTCATGGTCTCAGTGTGAACATGGACCATGGTTGGTTTACAGTACAGGTTTATTTTGTCTGACAAAGAAACTTCAAAATCAGAACTTTTACAAATCAATAACATTAAACTGAGATTAAATTGTCACATTTGTATGAGAAAAGACTTCATTCATCCTAAACAGACCCCACACACTGAAGTTCAGACTGGCACAGATGTTTCAGGAGGAGAAAAGCTTCCTGGAATAAAGTATGAAACGAGTAATAAACATGTTTAGATCTTTAGACTTCAACATGAGACGTTGATCCCTCTTCTGTGGAGATGAACAGGTTAATGCATCAAAGAAATGAATAATGGCAGAACATTTATCCCTGAACAGCAGTAAGAACGGCTCTAACCACAGTATGTACAAGACCATAATGCAGAACAAATGCCACGTCTTCTCAAATTATTATAAACATTTAGTTTCAATCAGGATACAAAACAAGAGACTTTGATGCTTATGCTCTAAAACATTAAAAACAATTATACTAAGTTTTTTTTTTTTGCAGCAAATGTGCAAAAGCCGCAGTACAAGCCGCATGCTGCAGAACTACTGCTGCACTGATCGTCTCAGAGAACTCCAAGGAACTCAAATAAGTCAAAGTGGAAAAGTTGTGGCAGGCTGCAGCGTTAACTTATGAGTTAATGCAGGCCTCCCTCCCCTCCCCCTCCTTCTGCTCCTCCCCCACAGCCCCCTTCCCTTCTCCCTCCTCCCCCCCTGCGCAGGTGTGGGTCACAGCTTCTCTGCATCCAGCAGCTCCCTCAGTTCATTCTGAATGTCTTCAGGCAGCTCCAGAGGAGGGAGATCGTCCAGACAAAGGTCCTCCTGAGCCGGCATCTCCAGGGGAGGGAGAGTGGGGATGGCGATCTCCTTCCCCCTCTTCTCATGTCCCAATCCTGTCCCCATAGCGCCCCCTGGCTGCGGCAGCACCCACAGCTCAGAGCGTTCCACAAAGTCTGCTGCCTCAGACTGAAGGCGTGCGTTCTCAATCTTCAGCCGGTCATTGTCTGTGGTCAAACGCATGTTCTCATCCATGAGGTGCTCCACCAGCCGCCGCAGGTCCTTGATGGTGGTCTGTTGCTCCTCCAGACGTGTCTTGTCGTCCTTTGTGGTCTTGGAGCCAGGACAGGGCTGGACTGTGGGAGGGACTCCGCTCTGCCGTGTTTGCAGCTGATACAGAAGAGTGTCATACTCCCGATCCCTGGGTCGGTCTTGAGTCATTGCCCCCGGGCACTGGGAGAGATCTGGGTGCTGGGGGGAAGACACCGGGGGATTAGTCCGGGCTTTAGTGGCCTGTCTCCTTGTCTCCCTCTTCCAGCGCTCCTGGAGGAGTCTCTGCTGTTTTATATGGGCCTCTCTTTGCAGCTCCATAGACAGACGAGCCTGTGAACCCAAGGGACCAGAGTTCATTATGACCAGTTTTTCAGCTTTAGAACCTGGAACAACTGATTCATGACATCATGTTATGCGTTTTAAAATACTAAATACAGGGTCTAAAAAATAAAAGGTTTGCTTTTATTGTTCACTTTTTCTTAAGGTATGGATATTTTCAAGTGATACTAGACACGCCTCACCTGCTCGACATGGCTGCTCTTCAATGCCTCAGACAGAAGATCTGTGACAGAGAGAAGTGCATCAGACAATGAGCAGGTACAGTTCATGGTAAAACACTGGCGTTTGCTGCAGTACCAGCTGCTTTCCTGTGGCACAGAATGGCCTCTTCATATTTCCCAGCAGCCACCAGTCTCTCAGCCTTCCTGCTTTGCTGATGCGCCTGTGACAACAAACACAAACATCTCATATGACTACGAACCATTTCCTCTGTGTTTATGTCACATACGGACAGTTTGTTGAGTTTTGGGGAGTGGGAAGTCGCCATTGAGCCAAGTAGATAAGTCTCACACACATTTACTTCAGGCTAATAATAGAATAACGCGGTGTGTGTCACTTATAAACTTAGAAGAGCGAGAAAAAAGCCTGAATTATGAATAATCTCGGTTCTACATAACATTCAAACAGAGCATTGCCTGTTATAGTGCTATCTGTTAGCTGTTGTAATGTTAGCCTGTTATTGCAACATATCAACACGGAAACTGACCAGGTTCAGGGGGCTGTCTGCGACCTCCATGAGTCCGATCTGAGACTGAGCACCGGAACACTGCCTCTGCCCGTCACGCACTGTCATCCGCACTGCGTGGACCACAAAGGAAAACACAGGAGAAAAGATACAGAGAAGCAGCCGAAGCAGCAGCAGCAGCGGCAGCAGCAGCAGTCGCCTTCTCAGCAGTGGACAGCTTTGTGCAGAGATAGATCCGGTATGGCGCCCCCTACAGGACGCTCTGAGCAACAGCAACACGCCCCCTACAGGACGCTCTGAGCAACAGCAACACGCCCCCTACAGGACGCTCTGAGCAACAGCAACACGCCCCCTACAGGACGCTCTGAGCAACAGCAACACGCCCCATGTGTTGTCAGTCAGAGGAGTCGATCTGTTATCACCTTTAGTAGGCAAGGCAAGGCAAGTTTATTTGTATAGCACAATTCATACACAAGGCAATTCAAAGTGCTGAACAAAACAAGAAAGCATTAAAATAAAAAATAAAAAAAGATAAAAATATAAAATCCCTCAGTTGTATGCACAGCTAAACAGAACCGTCTTTAACCTGGTTTTAAACATTGTCAGAGAGGAGGCCTGTCTCACATCTTCAGGAAGACTGTTCCAGATTTTAGTAAGTAAGTAAGTAATCTTTATTTATATACCGCCTTTCACAGACCAGAGTCACAAAACGGTTTTTTATATCCACAGAATTGTTGATATATATTGTTTTTTTTAAAGCTGAATGCTGCTGTTTTTGCCGTTTCTAAGTTTTAGTGATGGTTCAGGCGCCGATAACTTCACTTCAGCCTAAACCCTTTCAGTCATTGCGTTTTGTTTGTGTGTGTTTGAGATTGTAAAATGACCGAACAAATAAATAACCAATAACAAATAGAGAACACATTGGATCTATAGATGTTAATGAATTGAAATGAATCGATTTCAATTAATATGATCTAATAACATGATATTTTGACGCATTTACTTAATTTTGAGCTATCAATTTGTTGCCTTTGACCTATTATAGATCCATAATAAGCCTTTGACAGACAGGATAGAATGTACCAAAGTGGAAAGAGGTTGGAAGGTGTTCTGGGGGGGAGGGGATTCATAGGATTTATTAAAGGAATAGAATGGTTTAATAAAGTAGTTTGGTTTTTTCCCACACACATTTATATATTTAATTTTTTTCAGACACATTAGAAAAAACCCTTGCACACACAGTAGGTGACGGTACGTACCTAGGCAAGGCAAGGCAAGTTTATTTGTATAGCACAATTCATACACAAGGCAATTCAAAGTGCTGAACAAAACAAGAAAGCATTAAAATCATAAATAATCACAGTACATAAAAAAAAAAGATAAAAATATAAAATCCCTCAGTTGTATGCACAGCTAAACAGAACCGTCTTTAACCTGGTTTTAAACATTGTCAGAGAGGAGGCCTGTCTCACATCTTCAGGAAGATTGTTCCAGATTTTAGCAGCATGAATCTGAAAAGCAGCCTCCCCATGTTTAGTTCTGACTCTGGACACTAACAGGAGTCCAGTCCCTGTGCTCCTCAGAGTCCCAGCAGGAGTCCAGTCCCTGTGCTCCTCAGAGTCCCAGCAGGAGTCCAGTCCCTGTGCTCCTCAGAGTCCCAGCAGGAGTCCAGTCCCTGTGCTCCTCAGAGTCCCAGCAGGAGTCCAGTCCCTGTGCTCCTCAGAGTCCCAACAGGAGTCCAGTCCCTGTGCTCCTCAGAGTCCCAGCAGGAGGTCAGTCCCTGTGCTCCTCAGAGTCCCAGCAGGAGTCCAGTCCCTGTGCTCCTCAGAGTCCCAGCAGGAGTCCAGTCCCTGTGCTCCTCAGAGTCCGGGCTGGTTCATATGGTACTAACATGTCACTAATATATTTTGGTGCGAGGCCATGGAGAGACTTGTACACAAGCAAAGCTGTTTTAAAGTCTATTCTCTGAGCCACAGGAAGCCAGTGCAGAGACCTGAGGACCGGACTAATGTGGTCATACTTCCTGGTTCTAGTCAGGACTCGAGCTACTGGTTTCCACCCGCCAACGAATGAAAGAAGAAGAACGCGTTATGCTCCTTTTGTCCACCAGAGGGCGCCAGATAACAGCGCACTGCAGGAAAACAAACGCATTTCCTCCTTTGGCTGTGTCATGTGTCTGAGTGTGTTTTTAAGACTGAACCCAAAGGTGCCTTGCTCCTCAGATCTCTGGGTGTCGTTGTAGTCACAGGAGCAGAGGATCCCGATGATCCTGCGGAGGACATTGATGCTTGTGTGTAGCACGGTCCCGGTGCTGCTCCTGCTGCTGCTGTACGGGGGGCTGGGCTCTCTGCAGCGGGCCTCCAGCTCCTCTCTGCGGGGCCAGCTGTTCGGGAGTCCGCTGTACAAGCTGGACCTGACATGGCCCCGCAACCCGGAGCTCTTCACCGGGGCCGTGTTTGCGGTCGGGGTGGACCAGTATGCGGGTGTGGTGTATGTGGCCCAGAGAGGTAGGGGCCCTTTCAACACAACGCTTTCTGTTTCATGAGTTTATTTGACAGGGACATTGTGCATTAATAAACATATCTGTAAATGCACCAGAATTAGCCAAGTAAGCTGTTTTCCACCCGCAGTTCCTGTCTGAGGTGTGTTTTATTTTAAATGCTACATTCTTTCTGATTCATGAGATTATTATTGTGTTTGTTCAGTGGCAGATAGTTCACCTGGTTAGCACTCTTTCATATCAGCAAGAAGGTCCTGGGGTTGATTCCACCTCCGGACATGGTCTGTCTGAGTGGAGATTGCATGTTCTCTCTGTGTCTGTGAAGGTTTCCTCCAGGTGCTCCAGTTTCCCCTTCCACCAAAAACATGTACAATAGCTCCCCTCTCTCTGGTCAGGTCTCCCCTGAAAATTCTGAAATCTCAGTGGGACTTAAAGGTCAATAAATTAATTAAATGCTTTGGTTTTTAGTTTTTAATAAAAGATCAAAAACGTGTTTGGGAGTAAAGACCACTACTCAGGAAGGAGGAATTTTTACGTTACTGAACATTTTAGCAATATTTTATGCAATCATTTCTGACGGTGATGCTCATCTGCATTAGTCACAGGCACAAGTTATTTCAGGGAAAAAGTAATTGTGTTAAAAACTGCATAACTGAGGGTTAAAAGTATTTACCAAAGTAAGAACTGAAATGTCCCCACTTTTAAAACACACACAATTTCTCCCAATTTAATGAATGAATAATGAAATAATAATGGTGCTTGCAAATAGAATCTAATCACCTACATAAAAAACACACAGTAACTTAGACACACACACACACACAGTAACTTAGACACACACGCACACACACACACAGTAACTTAGACACACACACACACACAGTAACTTAGACATACACACACACAGTAACTTAGACACACACACACACACACATTAACTTAGACACACACACACACAGACACACACACACACAGTAACTTAGACACACACGCACACACACACACGCACAGTAACTTAGACACACACAGACACGCACACACACACACACACAGACACACAGTAACTTAGACACACACACGCACACACACACACAGACACACAGTAACTTAGACACACACACACACACAGTGACTTAGACACACACACACACACACACACATACACGTTTCTTGTTACCTGGTGGGTCCCTTTGACAGGGCCGTTCAGAATGGGACCCATAGACATAATCTTTTTTTACTGGGACTACTTTAAGTAATACAAAACAGTCAATAGAAACCAAACAACTATTTTAAAGGAATTTTATTTTAGATTTTGTTTTCGAATTGCAGTGATTCTATTTTTGACATAGAATTTAATGCCACTCCATGTCCGATGTCTAAGGTCATCTGGTGAGGCATTAATGCAGGCCAGGCAGTGAGACTTCCCAGGGACTTTTCCAGTCTGTATGAAAGGTGTCATGGTCTTCTCCACAGCCTTCACCTCAGATGCAGACCATGGCTTTCTTACACGTTCTAGGGAGAGAAATAAAAATATATTAGCAATATACACTCCCAGGGTGAGGACCAAGCAGCCTGGCTGTAATCCCCCACCTGGTACACTTACCAGAAGGGGCACTGCCACTACCATGGGGTGCATCTGGATGAATGGTTGAAGGTTCTCCGCTTGAAGTTTCTTTTAGCCCGTCCGTTTGTGAGAGGATCTCTACTGCTCTCCCTGTCGCACAGAAAATAAAAATACAAGTGGCCTTTAGGGGAAAAAAATCATACATATTTTAATAATATCAAGAATTACCTTCAGGCTCAATTTGTATCTGGTCGAGGCTCTTTCCTTCGAATTCCGTCACTCTTCCCTGCTCCATGGCCATCAACACTTTGCTGATTTTGGCCAGCTCCAGTGTCCCCTCTGGTAGTCTGTAATATTGCCTGTGGATGCGAATGTCATGGCCGAGGAAGTTGGCAAGTATGTCCATCTCATTCTCTTTCATATTGAGAACTGTAGACATAGTAGCTATGTGCTTTCTAAGTTTGGTTGAGGATAGCATCTCTGGATGCACCGCACCACATTCTTTGGCTACCTGGCGTAGGGAGTCTGATCCCCTGATGTGGGTGTCTGCGCCCGGGCGGGAAAAGAAGTATGGGTTATGGTCAGAGATGGAACAGGCCCTTCTGTTCTCCACCAGCACCTCCATCGAAGCAATCATTTCAGGAGTCAAAAGAACCGGCACTTTCCGACTTCTTTTCCCTTTAATTTCAATGCGTTGAAAATGCTGACACAGCTTTTTCTCAAGTTGGGACAGTCCCAGAGCAATGTCAGAATGGATCCCAGTCTTACTTCTTAAGGTAAAGGCTGTCAGTGGCATCTTTGAAACCTCACCTTCCCTTCTTCGATTGAAAATGATGACCTCACAAAGAGTCAAAACTGCCAGTTTAGACCAATGCTTAGACGTTGGCTCACTTATTAGGGTTTGCACATATTCAGGTCGACATACCTCAATATGTGCATGCATGGCTCTAACGTCCTCAGTCAGAGGGAGCAGGTCCGGAGTGTTCCACTTGGCTTGCCGGAGGGTCTGTAGGGCAGCAGAAGAAACACAGACGTCCCACCTCTTCTCAAAAAGCAGCCGGCTTCGTTGGAGGTTTTTAATAAATAGTTCATCAACACAATGCTCCATTTTTGAGTCACATTCAAGAATATCTGCTAGCTTTCTGAGGCTATGGCCGAGTTTGAGGGCCAAGGATGGAGTCTTGTATTGATTTGTTTCCTCATCATATCCAGCCACAGACCTGACTGCATCAATCACATGGTTAAAGTTGGAAGGAATAAAGAAATCCTTAATTGTTTTCAGTTTCCCTGCGGTTTTTGCTTCGTTAATTAACCTACCGACTTCTCTCATTTTCTGCCTAATGTAATCATGCTTAGTTTTATCATGCCCGTGTTTTAAGTACAGGTGCTCTCCGAGTCTCAGAATCCCCTTTTCTGCTTTGACAACACCCGTGACCTCATCCTGATGCATTGCCGAAATTAAAGACCACAGCTTTTTGCTGATGCCCTCCGGTACAGGCTGGGCTAGGGAGCAGAGGGACTGGACCCTACTTCTACCTGGTTTAGCCTGGTTTAGCCTGGGCATCTTTCTGTGAAAGCCGGCACCTGGCCACATGCCTCCACAGCGACCTTCGCTTAAGCAATGCCCCACAGTCTATACAGTGCAAAAACTCACTGGATTTAACTGGGGAATTTTGCTGTTTAGCTGGGACTAAAGTTCCAATGCCGGCCTTTAAAACCTCAAAATTGTGCTCACGGTTTCCACTATTCCTGATCAAATCAAACTGAAGTTTACGTGCTTTAGATTTCACAGGTAGAGCCAATGCTCTGGCTACGTCACTTTCATTTCCATGTTTTCTAGTCAAATGACGGGACATTTTGTGGCAGGACATTGAACAGTAGAGGCAGAAGTGTCTCTTGCTGTATACTCGCCCCCCATTTTTCTTCTTTTGCAGCTGCATGATAACAATCTTATTTGCCTTTGGTTCGTCACTTTCCGAGTCTTGAAGAAAAGTGTTTTTGATTTTTCTTTTTCCATACTTTTTTACAGGTTTCTTCTTGACAGTTAAATCGTCAGAATCTGAGTCGACTTCATCAATTAGGGACTCTTGACTAAGCTGCACAAACAACAAATAATTTGTAATAATTCTATATAACAATTTGAAGTCATGACTTGTAGTCAGCACTTACCAGTGGGTTGTAAGCGTGCGCTTCAGTGTGCTCCTCCATGATGTCTTGCAGCCTAATGAACCACACACTTGCACCTTTTCACCTGACTTCCTCTGTTGTGCTGCTCCATGATTGGCTCCAGCCTGCTGGACTGAAATTGCCCCAGTGTGCCCCTCCCTGATATCCCGCAACCCACCACCAGGGTTCCGACACATAACACACTTTTTTCAGGAAAGTAAACCTCCAGGGGTCCTTTCCATATTTTTACAGAGACTGCATAAGGACCGTTAGAAAAGCATTACCCATTGATTATTAAGCTTGGACCAGTGGGGTCCGGTGTTCGGGCCCCACCACGTAAAACCAGTCCCCATGACGTGAGTGGAATCTCAGGTTATGGAACCCACTAGGAGTTGAAAACAAGTGCGCACACACACACACACACACACACAGTAATCTCTGGTCGTTCTCTCGCAGGTGACGCCGTGCCCAGGATGCTGGTGTTCAGCACAGACGGACACTTCCTGATGTCCTGGAACAGCAGCTCTCTGGAGGAGCCCCACGGTGTGTTTGTGGCAGACGCAGCCACCTCCAGCCCCAGTGTGTGGGTCACTGATGTGGGCTCTGGGCCCTACGGACACTGCATCAAACAGTACTCTCCATCGGGGAAGCTCCTGCAGGTCAGGCCTCATCAAGATATTATTATACACTCACTGCCTCTTTATTTACTAGGACAGCGGTCTGCAAACGTTTCCGATCTGAGAGCTACTTTTATGCTACAAAAGAGGCAGAGAGCTACATGTCGTAATAAAATAATTACGACAGAACACCTAAACGAACCATAATACTGTAAAACCCTACATCTAAACTTATAATAGATATGAAATTACTCTAAGTGTATTCATTCAAGATCATTTGTTACCAACTTCATCCTTTGGGGAGCTACCTGAAAGTGGCTGGTGAGCTACTGGTAGCTCCTGAGCCATAGGTTGGAGACCCCTGTGTCAGAACCATTATTATTATAATTATTTACCTGATTTCCTCAAAACCAAATCACAATCACATCATGGTCACTCCACAATGTGAGAACTCAAACTGTGTTAATAATGTTGGGGCGGCACGGTGGCTGAGTGGTTAGCACTCTCTCCTCTCAGCAAGAAGGTTCTGGGTTCAAATCCCGATTGGAACAGGGCCTTTCTGAGTGGAGTTTGCATGTTCTCCCCGTGTCTGCGTAGGTTTCCCCCCCACTAAAAACATGTGCAATAGTTCAGGGTGAATGAGTGTGTGTGTGTTTGTGAGTGTGTGTTTGTGAGTGTGAGTTTGTGAGTGTGTGTTTGTGAGTGTGAGTTTGTGAGTGTGTGTTTGTGAGTGTGTGTTTGTGAGTGTGTGTTTGTGAGTGTGTGTTTGTGAGTGTGTGTTTGTGAGTGTGAGTTTGTGAGTGTGTGTTTGTGAGTGTGTGTTTGTGAGTGTGTGTTTGTGAGTGTGAGTTTGTGAGTGTGTGTTTGTGAGTGTGAGTTTGTGAGTGTGTGTTTGTGAGTGTGTGTTTGTGAGTGTGAGTTTGTGAGTGTGTGTTTGTGAGTGTGTGTTTGTGAGTTTGTGAGTGTGTGTTTGTGAGTGTGTGTTTGTGAGTGTGAGTGTGAGTTTGTGAGTGTGTGTTTGTGAGTGTGTTTGTGAGTGTGAGTTTGTGAGTGTGTGTTTGTGAGTGTGAGTTTGTGAGTGTGTGTTTGTGAGTGTGAGTTTGTGAGTGTGTGTTTGTGAGTGTGTGTTTGTGAGTGTGTGTTTGTGAGTGTGAGTTTGTGAGTGTGTGTTTGTGTGTGTGAGTGTGTGTTTGTGAGTGTGTGTTTGTGAGTGTGAGTGTGAGTTTGTGAGTGTGTGTTTGTGAGTGTGAGTTTGTGAGTGTGTGTTTGTGAGTGTGAGTTTGTGAGTGTGTGTTTGTGAGTGTGAGTTTGTGAGTGTGTGTTTGTGAGTGTGAGTTTGTGAGTGTGTGTTTGTGAGTGTGTGTTTGTGAGTGTGTGTTTGTGAGTGTGAGTTTGTGAGTGTGTGTTTGTGAGTGTGTGTTTGTGAGTGTGTGCTCAATATGAAAACAATGTATGAATGTGATTTTATCCTGAACTAAAACTCTTAAAGCTACAGTCAAAGGCACATCACAATCATCACTACATTTTGTTTGTGTGTGTGCGCGTGTTTGTGTGTGTCTCTGTGTGCGCGTGTGTGTGTGTGTGTGTGTGTGTGTGTGTGTGTGCGTGCAGGTCTTGGGAACCCCAGGCCAGGCTGGGACCGGCCTCAGTCCTCTCCAGTTTGATAATCCTGCTGAGATCTACGTCCACTCTTCTGGAGAGATGTACATCGTGGACGGAGACGGCGGTTTGAACAATCGTCTCATCAAACTGTCCTCGGAGCTGGAGGTCGTGTGGGTCCAGGGGGAGAAGGGCAGCGGCCTCACCCAGTTCCACATCCCCCACAGTGTGACCGTGGACTCGTACCAGAGGGTGTGGGTGGCCGACCGCGCCAACAAACGCATCCAGGTCTTCAGCGCGGTCACTGGGGGCTGGCTGGGCACGTGGGGGAGCTGCTTCACGGAGGACGGGCCCTTCTCCGTCCGCTTCACCCCCGACAAGAAGCACCTGGTGGTCGTGCAGCTCGATACCAACCAGGTGTCACTGCTGGAGGCGCCCCCTGTGGGTGTGATCGGGCAGTGCAGAGTGGAGAGTGTGATCCAGCTCGGGGAGGACACCAAGCCGCACCTGGTGGACCTGGATCTGAAAACTGGAGCTCTGTACGTGGCAGAGATTGGAGCTCAACAGGCCCAGAAGTTCACTCCCTTCAGCCTCGGAGGAAGTCTCCTTTAAGTGATTATGATCCAAACTTTATCATAGAAACTACAACATTATATAACACACCATACACATGGTCTTAGCACGGAGCAGGAGGTTCTGAGTTCTGTGACTGTAGATTAATCGGACTCCTCCACGTCACGTCCTCTTCTCCAGCTCTGATTCCAGGTGTTTGTCCCACATGGTGCTGAGTTCAGATCCAGGTGTTTGTCCCACATGGTGCTGAGTTCAGATCCAGGTGTTTGTCCCACATGGTGCTGAGTTCAGATCTAGGTGTTTGTCCCACATGGTGCTGAGTTCAGATCCAGGTGTTTGTCCCACATGGTGCTGAGTTCAGGTGCAGGTGTTTGTCCCATATGGTGCTGAGTTCAGATCCAGGTGTTTGTCCCACATGGTGCTGAGTTCAGATCCAGGTGTTTGTCCCACATGGTGCTGAGTTCAGATCCAGGTGTTTGTCCCACATGGTGCTGAGTTCAGATCCAGGTGTTTGTCCCACATGGTGCTGAGTTCAGATCCAGGTGTTTGTCCCACATGGTGCTGAGTTCAGATCCAGGTGTTTGTCCCACATGGTGCTGAGTTCAGATCCAGGTGTTTGTCCCACATGGTGCTGAGTTCAGGTGCAGGTGTTTGTCCCATATGGTGCTGAGTTCAGATCCAGGTGTTTGTCCCACATGGTGCTGAGTTCAGATCCAGGTGTTTGTCCCACATGGTGCTGAGTTCAGATCCAGGTGTTTGTCCCACATGGTGCTGAGTTCAGATCCAGGTGTTTGTCCCACATGGTGCTGAGTTCAGATCCAGGTGTTTGTCCCACATGGTGCTGAGTTCAGGTGCAGGTGTTTGTCCCATATGGTGCTGAGTTCAGATCCAGGTGTTTGTCCCACATGGTGCTGAGTTCAGATCCAGGTGTTTGTCCCACATGGTGCTGAGTTCAGATCCAGGTGTTTGTCCCACATGGTGCTGAGTTCAGATCCAGGTGTTTGTCCCACATGGTGCTGAGTTCAGGTCCAGGTGTTCGTCCCACATGGTGCTGAGTTCAGGTCCAGGTGTTTGTCCCACATGGTGCTGAGTTCAGATCCAGGTGTTTGTCCTACATGGTGCTGAGTTCAGATTTTTCTGTTTTTATTTTAATTTTAATTTCACATTGTAACACCTTCCACAAGAAAAATAAATTCTTATGATTCATTGTGAGGTTTACGTGTTTTTCATTAGATTCAAGTTCACTTCTAAAACACAGTCAATACACTTCTTACACGAAATCATGAACATCACAAAACATCGGGCCGCACGGTGGCTGAGTGGTTAGCAAGAAGGTCCTGGGTTCGAATCCCGGTCGAAACAGGGCCTTTCTGAGTGGAGTTTGCATGTTCTCCCTGTGTCTGTGTAGGTTTTCTCCAGGTGCTCCAGTTTCTCCTACCACTAAAAACATGTACAACAGGTCTGTGGCTCCTGCACTGGCCCCTCCCATCTCTGTGTGGACTGAGAGACAAACGCCCACAAGTGTAAACTGCTTTGACTCTGGTCTGAGAAAGGTGCTATATAAATAAATAAACATTACTTACTTACATTTATCACAAAACGTTTGAGCGTCGTGCACACAGTATGACATGATGGACTTGTTTCACATTTTCCGGAAGACTGTTCTAGTCTTTAGCTGCAGGAAATGCTGCTCGCAAACATAGATAAGCTGCAGCGCCACATGGACACCAGGGGGCGCACTTCCCCCTGAAGCCGCTGGATGTGGAGCAGTTCTGGATTTACAAAAGGGTTTTCAGTTTTAAAGACATTTAACGTGCTTTGATCTGGTTCTACTTCTTATTTTATTAACAGTGAATGAAGTGCGGAGTAAAGTTTAGGACAGAAGTGAGAGAAAGAGGAGGGAGTATTTTCATAATCTCTGCTTTTCTCCCACATTTTTCTTATGTATTTTTTGTATATTGTGTTTTTCTCATCACCACCTTTTACGGGACAATATCAACTCTTTTCAAACACTGTCCTAAATAAATGCAAATATTAATAAAATAGCAAAATAATGAACATTTTCTGAATTAAAACCAACAAAAACCCTTTAAAGAAGGGATTTTTCCTTAACAAAAAAATATTGTATTTAATTTGGGCGGCACGGTGGCTGAGTGGATAGCACTCTCGCCTCTCAGCAAGAAGGTCCTGGGTTCGAATCCCGGTCGGACCAGGGCCTTTCTGAGTGGAGTTTGCATGTTCTCCCCGTGTCTGCGTAGGTTTCCTCCGGGTACTCCGGTTTCCCCTACCACTAAAAATATGTACAATAGTTCTGGCATGTGCCTCCTGTACTGGCGACTTCGCTCCCATCTCTGTGTGGAGTGAGAGACAAATGCCCAAAATAAAAAAAAATAATAACAATTGTAAACCGCTTTGAGACTCAGATCTGCAGTGAAAAGGCGGTATATAAATAAAGATTACTTACTTACTTACTAATTTATTTTATGGAAACATCATTTTTGCATCTCATTTTAAAGCTCTAATACTTCACTTTGTACCCCTGCACTAAAAAAAAAAAAAAACAAAATTCGTTTTGTTTTGGTTTTGAGGAATGAAAACGAGGATTCTTCACTTCCTGCTGTTTTCTTGAAGTAGATTGTGCCAAAAAATGTTATAATTATATTCATTTTAAGAGACAGATCACACTGAATACTTCGGAGATCATCCCTTTGGCCATTCCTGCATGTGCACGTCTTTGAAGCTAAGCAGGACAAGGCCAAAGAGCTGTGATGGGAGACCTCTGGTTGCTACAGTGAAGCGGCTGTGGCTCTAAAACATGAAACTGTTGTTGTGTTCTTAGGCAAGACACTTCCCTCACATGGCCCAGTGTGAGTGTGGAGAGGGGAGGGAACTATTGGTTTGTTGGTCGCCTCACTTCTGTCAATTTGCCCCAGGGCGACTGTGGCTATCGTAGCAGTTCAGAACCACCATGTACAGAGTGAATCTTTTTTATAGAGTTAAAAAAGTGTGTGTTGTTTGTAGAGAAAGAACAAAAAATATATATGTATAATTCTGTCGTATAATTTACAATATATATGTATAGTTATAATAATAGTTTTTGTTTGTATATGGTTTAAAGCAGAAGTGGACTGGGGCTGGAGCTGAGGCTGGGGCTGGATCTGTGTCGGGCTGGAGCTGAGGCTGGGGCTGGATCTGTGTCTGGGGCTGGATCTGTGCCTGGGGCTGGATCTGTGTCTGGGGCTGGATCTGGGGTTGGAGCTGGAGCTGGGGCCGTATCAGGGCGGAGACTGCAGCAGGAGGCAGAGGACTGAATGCTTTCACTGAGGGTCCGCAGCTCGTCCATCTCCTGAGCCTTTGTTTTGGCGACGGGACATGACAGCAGCGACACCTCGTCAGACATAATAGCCCTGTCTGTAGTTTTGCTCTATAGCGAGAGGAAGGAAGTGATCAGGGCGACTGTGGACCTATACGGAGGTGTGGAGGACACTGGACGTACGGAGGTGGTCACCCTTTACCGCCACAAAGAGTGTGCTGAGGCTGCAGGACGGGCACACCCAGGCCAGACCCAGAGACTGAGACCAGGGCTTCACCTTCTCACACTTCCTCCATAATCACTGTGACCGGCCACCCCCCTCCCCATACACACACACATCCACCAATCCACTTTCAATTCATAAACCCAGCCGTGTGACATCCCAAACTTAAATAACGAGGATTATCTGGGGCTAAAGAACAAACTAAATCCTGGAGCCACACTGACACTGCCCCAGCTATTGATTGGTGATAAGTTATGAGCAGAGAGCATTGATCCATGGAGACATAGAGAGCACCCCAGCCCTGACTATGAATATTTCAGCAGACAATTAACAATAAATATGTCCCTATACTATCAGCGAGACATGTGCCTGCACCATCTGAGTCTCTGCTGAAAGGAAAAGCCCTGATGCCCCGCTGGCTGCAGGATGGTGGGGTTTGGATATGCACTTTCAAGATTCAAGCGATCAAGATTAATTTATTATGTACTGTAGAAAATGTGTCTTGGATTCACAGCTGCTACATTGAAAATACACATAAGACAGAGATAAAACCACAGTAAGTCCAAGGTCTGCATTCAGGAGGTTCACAGATGTGGGTAGGAATGAGTTCTTTTATCGGTTTATCTATCTTTTCTTGGTTCTCTGTAGCGGTGGCCTGATGGGAGGAGCTCATACTGAGAGTAGAGGACATGAGAAGGGTCTGAGGTGATTTTCTTTGCCTGTCTAAGAAGTCTCCTCAAATATCTGCTGCAAAGATGGATGCTCCCTAACTCCCATGACCTTAAGTTCTGTGCACACTAATCTGTAAAGTTCTGGTTTTGTTTTAACAGTCAAATTCGCAAACCACACACACATACCATATCTTATTACACTTTCAATTACAGCGTGATAAAATGGCCGCATTATTTTCTGTTTGACTCAGAGTCTTTTCCGAACCCTGCTCCAGACAGAGTTCACGTGGACTTCCCAGACCAGACTATTTACAGTGTATGAGTGTACCTGTGTTACCTCTGAGTGTACCTGTGTTACCTCTGAGTGTACCTGTGTTACCTCTGAGTGTACCTGTGTTACCTCTGAGCCATGCACGGAGAGCAGAGTGCGCTTTCCAAAATGTCCCGGGTCAAAGATTATTTCTTCTGTCTTCTTTACGTTGATGATGAGGCTCCACCTGCAGATTGTATTCAGTCGTGTCTGTGTCCTTGTCCATGAGTCCTAATATAACAGTGTCGTCTGAAAATGTGACGATTAAAGTGCTGGAATGGCTTCTGGTGCACTTTCACACCCTGTCATGGAAGCACTGAGGACTTCCTAACCCGCTTTGATGCTGCTTAGTTTACCCAGTTTATGTTCTTCATCAAATATCTTCATTTTTCAAGTTTCTCCATTACAGCCTCAGTGGAGTTAGAGCCCTGCTTGGTTAGGAAGCACATTAAAGAATATTATTTTCAGAAAATGGCTGGCAGATTGAATAAGTACAAAACTAATAAGGGGATGGTTGGGGGA